AAATTAATATTGTACACACAAGAATACAATAATAAATCTTTGGTAATAACTAGTTGTATTTACTGTCTGATACCTGTTTTCTTTTCTCAAAATTATTTACAAAACACAAAAGCAATCGTACATTCTAATACAGTGAATATTAATGTACTCGTATAATACATTATGTATTTATATAACAATTACTTATTTAATTAATGTAGGTATACGTAATTAATGTACTACTTACCTAATTTCTTCACATCGAATGCATCTACTGATGTCAATACTTGATTTAAATTTTCAGGATGACATTTTGGAAAGTTAGTAGAATCCTTAGAAATATCTTGAAAATATCTCAACACAGCAACTCCATCACCCCACGAATGCTCAAAATTTAATCCTGATGTTCCATCAGCACATACTATTAATGTGAATGACTTGTCAAACCACCTGTAAATAAATAAATATTCTCAATAGAAATCTACATATGAACTATAAATAAATTAATTATTGCTGAAACCTGTTGATCCCATCAGAATGTAGATATTGCTTAACACATGATATTGGATCAGAACCAGGTTTTTCATCATCAAGAGCAATCATAAGAATACTATCATCTATTATACGCAATGACTCTTCATTTCCTAATTTGATAAGATGATTTCTTAAATCAGCCCAATTATTACGTTCAGTGGTTGTTAAAACGCCGATTGGATGATTAGATGGAGCTATGTCTTCATTCAAAATGTATTGAATTTTGGATAATAATAACTGAGGGTTTAATATATTTCCTAAAAGCATATATTATATAAAATAAAAGTATTATTTATAATTATCGAACACAAATTAAATAATGTATTATCAGGGACGGACTGAGAAAGCTGTTTGACCCAGGAAATCTAGATTGATTGAGTTTATTATTTTATTGTTCCTAGCCTATTAATATTAAGTAAATACTCGCGGACTAGGTATGGATATATTTATCAATTTATATAATTAACAATATTAACTTTTATCTTATAAATAAGCATAGATATAAATACACTAAATTTTTAGTGACTAAAAAAAACTGTTGAGGTCGTTACCCATCATACGGGTATCACACGCGACGCGCTCTCAACTTTTAAGTCTCTGTTCCATTGGACCCGAGTGGAGAGGCGGCACATCGTGGGTGAGACTGAGGACAACTGCTACAGTCGACATCCGGGCCGCGTATTTGGCAAAATTTGACTGAATTTGGCCAAACGGGTTTGCACATCACCCAATGCGCATGCACATGACACTTCTCTCAATTAAATACGTTATCACAGTTATAATTTTCTTTATAATAACTTTGTAGTTTGTACTTTGTTCATAGTTATAAATTATAAAACAGATCAAGTAAAACTTTACTTAAGTGTAGGTAGGTACTCAATAAATTCAAATATATCAAAAACACTATCAATAATCGTAATAATAATAAAAATGGAAAAATGGCAATAAAATAATATTTATTTATTTATTTTTTTTTTTATTAAATTATCAATATTTTATCACAGTTATTACAATAAATTAATAATTACAATAATTGATTATCTATCTCTTTTAAGCATAGCTTGAGTTAGAGATAGAGAGTGTAACAATGCTATTCTCAAAAAGATCACAAAAAAA